TTATATGTATATATATAATGTGAGTACATTGCACGTAGCACGTACAATATATAAATGGTTATTGTATATCATATAACTATTATGATGGCAACCAGGTCTCTGATTATTAACTCTCAAGGGTCCTCCCTTGCATACGAAACCACAACCAATATCACTGTCTAGTCTATACTAAGCCTTCGTGTGGCACGGGACAACGTGCTGCCTAACATTTTGTGTCTAATAACTACAAACTTTGACATTCAGCTTTTCCGCAGAATGCTGAAAATGGGACATAAGTGTTCATATTGTAGTCATACAGTGACTACTCGTGGACACAAGACTTGCCATTTCTAAAACATATGACGCTCAAGTGGTTTTTATTATCTGAAAATCGGAATGTAAATGTTTATAGTTCCCGTTTTCGCGTAGTGCTGAAATTGGTACATAAATTTACATTGTTCCCGACCATGGATATTCAAATTTTTTGCATAATGCTAAAAACAGGACATAGGTGACCGAATTAAAATCATTCAAATTCACTCAGCGACAACCCTAGGACACAAAGTGAAAAACGTTCTACAATTTTTAACATTCAAGTGATTTTGATGATGCTGAAATGGGACATAAAGTGTTCATAGTTCCCAAACCTTGATATTTATTTATTTTTCTTCTGCATTATGCTAAAAACAGGACATAAGTATCCATATCGCAATACTTTGATTTCATTCAGCGACAGCCACAGGACACAAAGTCTCCCACCTACAATCCATGACAGTCGAGTGTCCTTCACAATGCCGAAAACGGGACATGATGTCCATATTGCAATAAATCAGCGACATACTTCAACATTCGACTGTTCTACATATTACTGAAAACCGGATAAAAGTGTAAATATGTGTTTTGCATGATGTGGAAAATCTGACACAAGTGTCCCTTGTCTACAAACTTTAATACTTGATTTTTCCGGGGCACAAAGTGTTCATTTTCTAAAAGCTTTAACCTTCAAGTGATTTCCATAGTTCTGAAAAAAGCTATATGTTTATAGTTCAAGAACCTTAATATTCAAATTTTCTGCGTAGAACAGAAATCGGGACATGATTGTCCATTGTTCTCGAATATTTATATTCAAAATTTCTATCTAATGCTAAATTCAAATTCATAAGTATCCATATTGAGCTGAAATTGCAATCAAATAGCGTCAAACTCCAAGACTCGAGTATCCTAATCCCTAACCCAGTCTTCCATCTTACGCAACGAATGATACAAGTAGAAGCAGAGGGACGCATACACGATGCGCCTGTGTTACAGAGTCTAATTCGTACATCTGATGCGGTTCAATCTTCATCACTCCAAGGTAAAAGCTCGCATGAGGGCTTAGAAAACATTCTAGCGTATGGCCAGCTATCACTCCCTCTCGCGTAGTCATCTTCGCTGCCTTTGTCAAATGCTCACGCAGCGCCTGCGCTGCATCATCTATCGCCTTATAATCCTGTAACGGTGCACCTCCGGAAGTCAGGCCCACCTTCGCCAAATGCTTCATCAGCGCATCAAGATACTTTCCCAAACGTTCCCCCAAAGCATGGTCACTGCCTCCTGCGTCTGCCATCGTCGCCAAGCCGAACAGTCCCGCTTTTAGTCCCCGCGGCGTCCCAGCCATGTTTTATTACTGAAAGCGTAAGCTTTCTAAGTCCAGACGGAAGCACCGGTTGACGAGATTTCAGAGAGTGACAGGAAGATTGCTGATTTCACAGCTCGGATGTTTAATGCAGAAGAAGAAGCGACGCTGGTAATGGATCAGGGGAAGATTGAGCAAGCCAGTTTGCGGATGACAATGGCAAGGCAATTTCAATCCAAGATCTTTTGTGACTTTCTCACACAACACTGCTTGTCGTAAAATGCCTCCAGAAGGCCCCAGAAAATAGTGAACCCCCCCCCCCCCCCAAAAAAAAAAAGGGTGTAAGGGGGTTAGAATAGCGAAACCACCCACCACCCGGCACCCTCCTCCCCGGAAAAAAAGGAAGGAAGGGTGCACCTGAAAGAAATGAAGTTGGGACCGGCGAAATATAATTTGAATCATGGCTGCCCATGCCAAGGTGAGATGCCTATTTAGGCCGAAAAGTGCTGAAATATGCAAATTTACAGATTTCCAGCCATAGCCTCCTAAAATAAAATAAATCCTTGTTTTTTTTTCGGAGGCTATGTTCAAGCACCTAAATGTTTGTTTTTTTTTAAATATATTTATATATATACTGAATACGAAAACCAGATTTCGCCTACGGCCATATCCAGCAAAAAATACCCGGTCCCGTCCTATCCCAAAAGTCAAACTGCTGCGAGCGTGGTCAGTACTGCGGTGGGGGACCACGCGGGAATACAACGTGCCGTAGGGAATTTTTTTAGTTTGTTTTTATATTTTTGTATTCTAATTTATATGTATTTGTTATCTGAAGCAACCCAGCATGTATTACCTAAACTTAGTTTATTCTTTATATAACTATACATTAGCATACTGCTATACAATAAACAGCAGGGTTCCACAATAGGTTTTCGATCGGGATGTGCCGCAATGAGACATTTGATCGTATCACACTAAGAAATTCCCGAAGAAAGCAGATACAAAAGTATAAAAAGATCGGAAATGAATAATAGAATGCATCAAAACTATTAGTTTTCACACGGCACATGATTGTCCATATTAAAATCATTCGATTCAGCAAAATTTTGCAACATTCGAGTGATTTCCATAATGATGGCAAGTGAACACAGCTGTTCATATCGCAGTCATTCGGTGACAGCCCGTGGACATGTTGTTGTCGATATCTCAACAAACTTTAGCATAATAGTATTTTTCTTGGTCCTGCAAATGAAACTTAAGTGTCCATAGTTCTCGAACATCCCTGTAAATAGAAACCTAAGTGTCCATACATCCACACACGC